CTTCACTGTCCAGGGTCTGTCTCACCTCCTCGCTGCCCCCCTGTCCCCCGGCTGCGGCCTTGTGTACCGCACATCTGATCTGTCCCAACAGGAGGGGCACATGCCATCCAGCATTCCTGGCACCCACCCTCCTGAAACGCTGTGCACGCAGTGGAGCACAAAGGAGCGGTAGGCTAGGAGGGCTCACCCCGCGGCTGGCTTACTTCTGCAGAATGGCTCCCAGGAACGAAATACAGTCTCAGGGGAATGAGTCTGACTCGAGGGGGACCATCGAGGGGAGGAGGGCAGAGAAGGGACAAAGTCAAGGCAAGCACAAGAGACCAGGTGAGAGGGAGGAAGAATGGAGGGAGCAGGCCAGTGGTGACCTTGCCAGCCTGAGGGTTTCTGCAGAGGGGCAGGGCCAGTTTTCCTGAGCCCTGGTTACAGTCCTCCCAGAGCAAACTTGTTTCTAGAGAAAACAATTCACTACTCTGATTTCCCTTCTCTCCTAGAATGATGGGGCCAAGTACAACACCCAGCTGTTAGAAGGGCACCTTTGTCTTCACTGATCGCTCCATATCTCCCAGCCTTCTCAGCCCGTCTCATCTCTCCCCGTCAACCCACCGAGTCAACGTGGCCATCGACCCTATGCTGGAGAACGCCCAGCTCCTTGTGCCCTGGACACTGTGGAACCTCAGGAAGGTTTTGAGTTCTGGTGTCAAGAATCTCATCAAATGTTGGGGGGCGGGGAGCTGGATTTTCAGAATCTAGATTTTATTTACAACCTGGATGGCTAGACAATAGGGAGGTCCTGTTCTTCTGTGGGGCTGGGATTTCAAGATCTCCTGCTTTGTGCTAAGTTGGGTAGACTTTGGCCTCTTCTCAGCCTTTATCTTAATTATCAAAGAATACAGAGATTTGGGGCCCCTGGGTGGCTCAGTGGGTTAAGACTCTGCCTTCGGCTCAGGTCATGATCCCAGGGTCCTGGGATCAAGCCCCGCATCAGGATCTCTGCTCAGCAGGGAGCCTGCTTCCCCCTCTCCTACCTGCCTCTCTGCCTACTTGTGATCTCTGTCAAATAAATAAAATCTTTAAAAACAAAAAAAGAATACAGAGATTAAGTATCTTGAAAACAGACAGAGGCTTCTCTCAAAGACTGATCACCAAGACTCCCCATACTTTAAGTACCTCGGCTCTCCCTGTTCCCTCCTAGACTGAGTCTCCTGCCCCCGGCACCGTCTCGGGAGTTAGTGGCTGTTGGTGAATTATTTAGGCCTCTTACAGCTCCTCTTTACGCCTGTTACTGCCTTTCAGCGTTATTGGCTATTAGTACATTCATAAGGGGTAAACCGAGGGATGAGGTAGAGGGAACCTATGACTCCTTGATAACTTTAATACCAAAGGAGCTTAATGGCAAATGAGAGTCGAGTATTATAAATACGGAGTTTGAAATGGTTCTAACTGTTGAATCACGAATGCCAGGCCTGTCCACCACAGCTGTGGGGAATTAAGATTTGATTTCATTTAGAAAGCTCTGAACAAGCCTCTACCTCTTGACCCAGACATCTGGAAGCCACGCTGCAGGCCCTAAAATTTTAATTTAAGATCAAAAAGGACAAATGACAACTCCCAATTCCTTTGAAGAACCATAAACAGCTAACTCAAAACCCTGACCCAGATCCATTCTTCTCAAGCTCTGGATTTCCCCAGAGGGTCAGCCCCCTCAGTCTTGGCCTGCCAACCCATGCACACACATGCTGCCCTAGTGGGGACACCTGTCAGCAGCTAGAAGGCCAAATAAAAATTGATCTGTCAGAATGAGTCCCCCAGCCTACTGACTGGAGTTCCCGGAGACCTACAGCAAGATTTCACAGTCATCATAAAGTTCCCAAACCACTGTTTGGCAAACGATGAGGTCTGGTTGCCTTTCTTTGGCTGGAAGCATATTCAATGGTCCTGATCGGGAAGTTCAAGAGATAGAAGAGCTGAGCCATCAACAAGGTCAAGAGCTTATCTAAATGTACCAGAGCCACACTGTCCCCACTAGGATCCTTAAAGACACATGTCTGGGTGGGTCGGAAAGAGGCAGACGGAGCAAGGACTCTGCAGTGCTAACACACAGCATCGGCAGCCACAAAGGACTCCTTCCAAAGGACAGGCAGGGTCACGAGGACTCGCTGGTTTGCAGATGGTTGGCAGAGGTGCGTGGTGGCCACAAAAACATCAAGGATGAAAGAGGCCGGAAGGACATCTAGCTTTACAAGAATTGTTAAAAGTGGCAGAAAAGCTCCCAAACTGTCATCTGCCAAAACAAAGAGCAGTTCCAAGTCACAGTGCTGGCAGCTGGCGGGTTGACCTGACAGAGAACCCCAGACTCACCAATGGACTTGACATGGCGTTACTGCCTCCCTCTGCAGCCAGGTTTTGGAAAGATCCTGGGAAATCAGCTCGATTGGTAGCTCGACAGCCACCCCCACCCCCAAAATGGAACCATCCCTTCAGACCATTTGCACATAGCCCTGAAGAACCAGGTGTCACAGGACCCCCCGAAGATGAAGCAATGGACCCCGAGAGAAAGCTCCTCTCGAAGAGGGTGAACAGAAGTAACCAGAAAGACCAGCACGTGAGAGCTAACAGACCCGAGGGCAGTTGGCTGGTAGAAATGGAGGCTGAGAAAGAACCTGCCAGATTCACTGGAATCCCTACCAGGGCTATGCAGCCCACAGCTTGGACCATGACTCTTAAAACATGTGCAAAAGCGATAAACAATACTGTCCAGATGACATCCGAGCCCACTGGAGAAGGGCGACGCAGCCAACATCCATCATTTGCTGGGAGCAGACAGCTACAGAGAAGCGAGGGTAAGTGAAAACCATCCAGGGCGCCTTCGATCCAAACCCACACTTTGGTGCATGTGTTTGCAAAGTCCGGCTTGAAGGCCAAGTACAGATGTGAGAGCACATTCTGGTGGGTGGTGGGGAAGGCGGAGGGACGCAGGCTCTTGGCCTCTCCCTCGTGGTGGACTTGCCCGCCGGCCCAGGCATCTGCAGCTCGGTTCCAAAAATAGCCCCGTATTTCCCTGCCATGTTTCACCCTGATGACAGGCAACTTGATGGATTATGTTCACTTCTTTGCCCAGATGCAGGATGGTCTCTGATGGGCTTCCGGTGGCCGTGATTTTGACAGAGAAATATTAATTCCCTGGGAACACTGTGGAAGAAGGGGGGCAGCAGAGGCCCAGGAATCTCCTCTTTCCAGAAGACTAACAAAGGAAAAGTCCTGCCTAGAGTCACACCAGAGACCACAACGTTTTGTCTCGGACGTATCTACCCAGTCGGTGGAGGCCCGGCAACATCCGGTCCCATGGTGGCCTGGAAAGAAGGCACAAACCGGACGACCCATCTCTCTGGGGAGCCAGGCTTCTCTCTGGAATTCTCTTTTCCAGGAGCAACCTCTTCCGTTGTCTGTCTGCTCCCATTAATGGCAAGGATAAGTAAGGTAGAAAATAACAAATACAGAAAGTAGCTCTTCAGTGGGCCTAGTGGGGACACCTGACTAGTCAGGCCTACCCTGACTAATTTCTCTGGCCTGAGAGAGGGTATCTGAAGCAATAAGAGTGAGGAGGACCCTTCCTGGTAAATACTCTCTCAGTCGTGGCGGTGGTAGTGGGGGGGCTGGTTCTGGACCTTTGCACAGGTGAGGCGAGAGGTAGCGGTCATGAACTCTTCTGTCATAGCACCACCGGAAGGAGCAAAGCATATTTGCAAATACTGGGTTGGGAGGTGGAGGTGGGACACTTGCCTCTTATTACACACATGATCAACTTTAATGCGCATGTTTAATTGAGACTTATCAAACTGGGGGGGAAAATGTGGAAAGGGACTCAGAAGAGAACAATTGGATGACACGGGTAAAAATCAAAATCAGACACATGTTTTCCCAATTACAAGATCTGGTGTGTGTACTTGGGGGAAGGGGTGATGAATAAATCAAATGAAATTTCAATTTTAAAAAAGCAACCCACATTTTAAGAGCTGCCTTCATGTCTGGGGCCCCAGCACCAAAGTGACCACAGCGCATTAATTAATTGAAGCCTACTGCCAGCCATCCCCCGAAGGAAGACATGGAGCAAACTTCCTCTGAAGAGAATAAAGGAAAGCAATCACTTCTTCTTTTTTTTTTATTTTTATTTTTATTTTTTTTAAGCCCAACTGTTTCTAGTGGTAAATACAGGAACACCCATGCTGTACCACGCATGTTTCCAAGAAACACCAGGATGACAAAAGCAGCAAAATGTCACCTCATGCTGGGTGGCAGGTCCTCGAGCCCCCCAGCTGAGAGCCTCGTAAGAGAAATGGCTTATTAAGTCAGAACCTAAAATGGAGATGCTTCTTCACAGTGAGAGGTTGAGTACCCAGGGAGATGGTCTTTCTGAGAATGCCATCAACGAGGGAAAATAGAAGAGACGGTGAGATTCCTAACGCCACGTGAGCCCATGGATGTAGCCAGGCCTAAAGCTAGCCCCCTAGACCTCCTAGTTCACGAGCCAACGACATCTCTCAGAGCTGGTTGTTTGAGCGGACCTCCCGTCACTGTCAGCCGAGAGCACTGACCAGTACGAGTCCCTCTTACGCAAGTACACAAAGTGGGTTTGTATGCCACAACCTCCCAGGCATCACACCAACTAGAAGAAAATCTGGATGTTCTCAGGATCTTTATGTGAATGAAAGAGGAGTTGGAGAAATCCTTATCAAATGGAAGGTGTTCTTCCGGAAAACTAGACACTCAGGACATCTCTAGCCTGTGGACTCAGTCCCCGGAGAACAAAGGTCCCCGCTGACAGCCCTAGGAACCCTGCTAGATAATTGGTGGCCACAGTGACGCACCTGTGAGTCTTTGTATTTCTGGGCAGAAGCCATTGGGCTGACATCATCAACACGTCCTTGTTCTCACTGAGACCCATGCATCCTCCCCACCAACTCCCCAGGCTTCCTGAGAACATGGGCTCCACACAAACCTACCGGAAGCACTGGAGACCCGGGAAACATCCTGGGACTGGGTGGAGCGATTGCGGCTCTGCTGTCGGCGCCTCCCAGGGGCTGACCTAGTGGTGCGCACGTGGACCTCGCTGACCTTGAAGAAGGCCACCATGAAAGGCTGCTTGTCGTAAGGGCCGTCTCTGCCCACCAGGCCTGCCGCTCGAGGGTTGATGGTGAGTCCTTGAATGCAAACCACAGCATGGCTGTCTTTATTGCCTGGAAACGGGTTCCTGCAGCTCCCTGGCCACCCAAGTGCCCATCACAGAGTGAGCATGAGGGAGGAGCCCTACGCATGCTCAGAGCACAATCAAAACACTCCTTCTGAAGTTGTGTGCATTAAAGCAAGGAGTGAACTCCCAGGCCTCCCATTCCCAATACATTTTGCCCTACACAACCATTCTTCCTGCTCATGAGCCTCCCAACCAGTGGGGGAACGGACTTTACAGGCAGAGTGTGCCCCGCCTGAGGTCTGGTGTGGGGACCTGGCCTGGCAGCTTTGTTGCTACAGGAAGAGGGGGTGCTGGCAGAGTTCTCGTGCAAACTTGCCCCCTACCCAATGGTGAGAATGCAGACAGGGTCTCCCCCTGCCCCTGTAATCCATCTTCCTATAGTGGCCCCTGGAACTCAGATCACCTACTATCTCCAAGTCATTCCTGCAGGCCTCTGGGAGAGATCTTGCTTCCTAGTAGTAGTTACGAAAGAACAGTAAGTGAGGTCATCCCGGAGCTGTGGTCTCCCCCAGAAACCAGGGTTCTACTGTAACTGTTGCAAATGGAACGGATGAGCACTGTTCACTGGTTCTGGCAAACTTACCATCCCGCGTCACCACGCTCAGCTGAAGCCCCATGTTGTGCTGCGGGGTCACGACCCACAGATTGCTAGTGGCTGTGATGTCAAATTCCAGCCAGCCTTCTTCTGAGGCCCACACCACACGGGTATCCAACAAAAATAGGTCAGAGTCTCTGAAAGGAAGAAAAGATTGCTTGGTGAGGCACACACCACCCTCTCGGCCCATCCTCTCTGTCCTGCCTTGGCCTTAGAATGAAAATGCCGATGTCGGATCGGGTCCACCCAAGAGACACCACATATGGTGCCCTGCTGTGGCTCTGGCTCATGGGACACCCAGGACACATGCATGACTCAGTGTGGAGAGGCATATGTGCTAGGGAGCAGCAGCCCAGACCAGAAATGAGTCTTCTCTCAAGTCTAGGTGGATACCTCAACTTCGTCAAAGGCCTTGCTATGGCTGTGCCTGCAGAGTCTTGCTGGGAAATAAGGAAGGAGGTGGGGGGCAGTGGAGGGAGGGCTGGAGGAAGAAAGAAAGTCATACTATTGCTTACTTAATGGCAAACAAACTCTAAAAAGGGAGCAGGGCAGGGAGCAGGCATGAGAAAAAGGATTAGGAAAATATTAAAATAGGATTCGTGAGCAAAAAAAAAAGTTGTGGCTTTATTCAATTTTTTTCTTTTTGTAAAATGAGGATCTGACAACCTTCACATGTTAATTCCTGTGAAATAAAAAAGAGAAACAAGAAGCCACATCGTATTTGTGGGTAATCATCAGATCCTTGCTTTTAATTAAGGCCTTTGAGCGGTCCCTGCTGCGTGTGGGCTCCTTTCTCGTGGGGATGGGGTAGCCGTGGGTGGATGTTGAGTGATTTTAAAGTTCATCCCAGGGACGCATGGGTGGCTCAGTCGGTTGAACGTCTGCCTTCGGCTCAGGTCATGATTCCAGGTCCTGGGATCGAGCCCCACATTGGACTCCCTGCTCATCAGGGAGCCTGCTTCGTTCGCCCTCTGCCCCTCACCCCACTTGTGCTCTCTCTCAAATAAATAAATAAAATCTTAAAAAAAATAAACATGTGCAGTGTTAGCACATGTGGAACTTAAAACAACAACAACAAACCTCATCCCAGCACAGATAGGAGCCGTGGCTGGGGTTTGTAGGCAGACTCAGAATCCATCCCTTCCACTGGGCTCCCCAGGCAGTAGTTATATTATATCTTTGTTTTTGGTTCTGTTTTACAGTTTTCAGCTAACAGAACCCTAGGACTCACAAGAAGATGGAGTGCGGGTTTCTTCCTGCTCCCAAACATGTGATGATAGAGCATGTCAGGAGATGGTCCCCTTCGTGTGTTTCAGGAACACTATGAATCTGAGTTGACATCCCAGGGTCACTGATTCAAATCCTCTAGTGCCATCTTTTACAGGATTGAAAGTTTACCAGAACACTGCATTTAAGACGAGCATTGCAATACAAACACTGTGTACTGAAACTGGGTACAGGGTACCTGGGTAGCTCAGCTGGTTAAGCATCAGGTTGTGATCCTGGGGCCCTGGAACAAGTCCTGCATCGGGCTCCCTACTCAATGGGGAGTCTACTTCTCCCTCTACCTCCCCCTCCCTATCGCTCATGAATAAATGAATAAGATCTTTTTTTAAAAAACCACAAAAATCGGTTATAAAGCACTTTCGTGTACTCTGCTTTCCTTCCAACAACCTGAAAGCGGGTCAAATATCACGATCCCCATTGTAGGGCTGGGGACTCACACAGACTTGAGGTTACAACCGTGTGACTACCGTCAAAAGCTAGTGAGAGAACTAGCTAGCGAAGAGAAGCCAGCAGATTCCGTTTCCCATACCATCACGCTGCCATGTGAGATTAGGAAGAAAGACAACCTGTGGCAAGTGAACACAGTTTATCTCTACCCCATCAACTATCTGTGAGGCCAGTGCCGAAACGTCAGAGTTAAACGTCTCAGATGTCTGGGGGGAAACAATTTTTCCTGTTTACACGGCTTGGAGTTAGAAGGCAGCTCTAGTGTCATCTTTTCCAAGCTTAAAACAGTAGGTGTAGCGAAAAGGAGTTTACTCAGCTGCTGACCAGAGCCTGCGGGGGTGCCCCACGGAGGCTGGCCATCTTTAAAGCGCTCTTGGACGACGTGCGTGTGTCATACCTCCTGTTGACAAATTACCCCCCCCCCGCCCCGGCACCGAGGTAACTGTGAGCAGGGAGGCAGGGGTGTTCGTGGAAAACAGCAAGAGGGGACTGCAAGGCCAAAGCTTTGAAGTGAAGATATAAAAAGACATAAATTCTGTTCTGGAGGATCGGAGAAGACCCCTCATCCAGGAATAACACAGACACTGGGAGAAGTGGCCCCGGTCCCGAAGGCAGCACGGGCCCCTCCAGAATGAAAATGCACTAAGAATCCCAAGGAGCCAAGCTGCGCCTGCATAAAGGGGGTCACTTGTCGCTCTTGACAGAGCTTGGGGGATGCACCTGGCGGACAACCCTTAAAGACTTGTCACGAGGATGCAGAAAAATGCAGTGCATCATAGGACTGTGGCAGAGCTCGTACAAAAAGCTAGAACGAGCTTTTATTTGAAAAACGTAGGGTTTATGGAAAAGGGAATGGGAGTCTATTATAAGAGAAAGTGTGGGGTAGGACCGAGGTCCCTGGTCCGAAAAAGGAGAGAAACAGAGAGAAGGAGAAAAGGGCATGAATTAAAGGGGAAAATGTGAATCCAAAACCAAACTTGGAGTAAAGGGGGAAGGTGCTTAGGAGGAGGAGGACCGATCACGAGGTGGCAGGAATGAAATCCTCAGGGTGAGTGGGGACTTGTAGACGCAAGCAACCTGGCTTTCTCTCCTGCCTGCTCCTGAGTCACGCTGGGTCCCCGGGACGTCTGTGTTGTTTCCCCATTGCCTTCCCTGGCTGTGCAACAAGAAGAACACTGGTCCTCCATGCCCAAGAGACCACAGGGATATGCAAATGCTGGCTGACCGCTGAGCCTGGAAAGATGAAAAACTGTGGCTCACCAGCAGTGAGGCAGGCTCAGATTTTGATGTTTATGAAATCTAGGATGCTTGGGTCCGTGGAAGGAAGGAGAGGTAGAGTATGCACCAAGAACCTCTCTCTATTCCTTGGGGACTCCAAAGAGGGAGGTCCTATTACTGTCTCTTTCCTACAGCTGAAACCTACAGAGATTAGGTGTAGGAAGGTCACACAGGCATTAAGTAGGGTGACCAGAACTACAATCAGAGTCCACACTCTTAGCTGCCACCTGTGGAAACAGCAGAGTCCAGAAAAGCACAGGGCACAGGCTGGAAATCCTGAATGAGAGCTTGGGATAACGTAAGGGATCAAACCCACTGTGCACAGATGCCAACATCAGCTGGATACAGAACCATGTTAAGATACTCAGAGCTGGCACACGATTGGAAATCACAGCAGGTTCTCCTGTCAAGGCCAGGCTAGGAAGGGGTGAAAGGTACATGCAGGAAGGGACTGGATATGTCGGCCACCTGGCCGGGAACTCCCGCGAGCTTCCCAGTCTTGTTTTACTCTTCCTCCCACGAAGAATATTCTCTGCCTAGCCTAAGAACACTACCAACAGGCATTCATACAGCCTGAGGAACTTAAAAAAAAAAAAAAAAAAGAATGACAGAATGAGAGCTTTAAGGAACCTCATTGGCTCCCCCTTGATGCTTCCAATAGCACAGGTGTTTAAGTGACACTATTCATGGCAAGTCGGTGAAACAGGTCAGGTCTGACCCACATCTGTTTCCTTTGGGTCCATGATGTACAGCCAGCATAATCTCCTGACTATGAAAGTACAGCCTCCAATAAGACATACCTGATCTTGCCATGTAAAAAACCAAAAACCAAAAAACAACAACAAATGTTCCCTTCTAAATCTCACTTAAGCACGTCAAGATCTGGTGGTCTCAGCTAAAACATCTTTATACACCAGTGGGTAAAGAATTTCAGGGTTTGGCCCAAGTGACCACCACAACTGGATTATCTGGATCTTCCTACTGGCATGACTGACATGCTCAAGTTAACATACCATGAAAGGAAATCCTGAGACCAGAGAGAGGACTTTGGAAGAATTTATTGCTTATTTTTTTCTTTACCAACTTACAGAACCTCATGTTTCAGGATAAATATGCATTCTATCTTCAAGAACACAGTGATTTTATGTTCGGTGTTCTCCCACTTGAGGGCATGAGTTTCCTCCTACTGTTCTCTCCCTGGGGAAAATTAGGTTGTTAACAATTAGTCTAACAAGAGATTTCTAGAAACTCCAGAAATTTCTAGCAAATTTCAGAAATTCACCCTGGGGCTAGAGTTGACTGACCAGCAAGTCACTCATAAGACCTGTAGAACTTATGTGGGTGGGCAAAGTCACCCCATGTGGTCCCTCCTAGGACAAGCCTCCAAAGCACCTGCCCTTGTAGGTGATACTCCCATTAGGCTGAGAGGCAGAAAGCACCAGGACAAACACAGTGGATCCTTTTCTTTTTCACCCTTGGAGACAAGCAGGAAGTATCTGAGCTCCTAGTGGGCAGCTTGGGTCTTTCCTGTCAAATGGCACCCATTAAGGTCACACTGCCCTTGACAGAGTGCAGCTCTGCTTACTACTAACCACTTTCTCAGAAAGAATTGTTCTTGATGAAATGGAATTTATATGTTTGAAGCAAGCAGCCTTATGAGATATTTGATAAGGTTGAGTCTGCGGTCTTGTTCCTTTATTTCTCCAGGACATTCCTTTGCCGTTGGTGTCTGGACTTAAGGGCACACTAAGATATAGAACAACGTTCATTAAAGGATGCCCCGACTTCATGCAATGGAGCATACTGAAATTTCGAAGAATATGGAAGTCAAAAGCCAATCGTTTTAGAAAATTAGATAGGAAAGCAAGCCTTTTTACTTTCTTCTTATACGATGTATCATATATAAAGGATTATGTTTAAATGTATACCACTAAAAGGATAGGAAAGAATAGGAAATTTGAAAATAGAGCATCACAAGTCAGGGTACGCTGCTGACCACACACAGATTTGAGTAAAAAGGGCAAAGGCACATTATTACTATATAATTAGCTAAGCTCTCATTGATTTTATACCACTTGATATTAATGAATTGTCACCCCAAGGATTAGCATGGTATAAAGAGATG